AGTGCCGCGGCCCGGGGAGACCGGGCCCCTTCCCTGAGAGGTGCGCGGGGGTGGGGCCCGCGGGGTTATGCCCGCTGGGGACCAGAGGTGAGGGAACAGGGCGTGTGGAGCAGGGTTGGGGGGTTGCTCAGCAGGGGGTTCGGAGCCATTGAGGTGAGTTAGGGCCGAAGCCTCTTCAGGGGAGGGAGGGAGGCCGGGCCGCGAGGTTCCTAAGACCACCCGCCACTCGGCTCGGGATCCGGAGGAGGGGCCCGTCTGCCACAGGCGGGGTAGCCAGGAGCAGCCAGTGCGGGGTCCGCCCCGCAGCGACTGCCCTGCGGGTCCAGAGCCAGGAAACCCCTCTAGAAGCCTGTCCGCAAACCCAAGACCAGGGGCCGGGGCTGAACGGCCGCCTCCCTGCAGGGGGCGCGCGGCCTGGAGCGCTCCTTAGGTGCTGGCCCGGCCCCGCAGACACGTGGGTGTCTCGGGAAGAGCCCCTGGGTCTTCAAACGACACCCTGCAGCTAAGGGGGTGGGGGGAGAGAAGCCGAAGAAAATGAAGCGAATCAGAACTTGCCGAGGGTCTGGCTGTTTTTCCTAAATGTCCCCGGTGTCTTGCAGCTCTGGGTGCAGGGGCATCATTATTAACAAGGCACATTGATTGGGGATGCTCAGCCTGCAGTGACCAGCTGCCCAGGGAGGGTTAACCAACGCCTGGGAGGCAGGAGGGCTTTCCCTCAGATGTTCCCACATCGCGTTCCTCTTCTTGCTCCCTCCCACCCACAGTGCATGGAGCACAGATGAATGAATGGCCATTGCCCTCCTACCAGCACACACTTGAGTGCCTGCCACACTTGAAATGTAGGAGAACTCACCTTGTTAGGAGCTTCGCCTGACAAACTGAGCTTACATTGTAAGGAGCTTAGCCTCATAAACATAAGCGATAAGTTTCTAGTTTGGACAGTTTTTATAGGTTAAATTGTGTCTCCCTAAACTAGAGTCCTAATCCCCAGCACCTCATGTGACCGTATTTGGAGACAGGCAATCCAATTAAAGTGAGGTCATTAGGATGGGCCTAATTCAGTGTGACTTATGTCTGTATAAAAAGGGGAAATCTGGACACACAGACAGATGCATAGAGGGAAGATGACGTGAATAGATGGGGAGAAGACGGCCAAGGAAAGAGGCATAGAACAGCTTCACCCTCACAGCCTTGGAAGGAACCAACCCTGCGGCATCTTCCTTTCAGCGTTCTGGCCACTAGAACTGTGACACAGTAAATTTCTGTTGTTAAGCTGCCCCAGTTTGGATACTTTGTTTTGGCTGCCTGAGCAAACTAACACATAAACATCAGCTGGGAGGATCTTTTGTATTCGTTAGCACCTCTCTGCTTGTCTTTGAGCAAAGTGATGGACAAGAGGAAACAACAAGAAGAAGGTCATATGCAGTGTGTGTGTCTTTGCAGCATTGTTTACTGATTCTTCTAGGCTTGACTATCCACCAGGTACTGAGACAGGAGTGGAGTTTAGAGCAATAATTCCTAACCTCACTGCCATATTTTTTCCTCTGATGAGCAATATGTTTTGAAAGAATTTTTACCTGTAAATGATTTCATTTATTAAGTGAATTTTACATTTTAAGTATGCAAAACTTGTATCACTGCTAATTAATTTATGACTCATGTATAATACTAATGCACACAATGAGAGAACCAGCCAAAAAGCAATGAGTCTTGATGTTTTAAGTCCATCCATATTGTTTTATTGAGAGAAGTCACCGATTTAAATGATTATCCCCTTAGACTAAATAGAAGATGCCATGATGCCTCAGTGGCTCGACCCGCGAATAAACCCTCAGCACTTTTCTCTTTTTATTCCCAGACAGGAATCATTTCCCTCTATGACTGTGTTTTTAAGAAGAACCCAGGATATAATCAGAAATTGCACCGAGATGACAGAGAGCATGCAAATAGCCTGGGACTCCATGTGAACGAAGAGGTAATACCGAGACAGGGTATTAATAGGATTTGACAGAGTAACTGTGTGTGCGCATTTATTAATATCGTGTCCACTTTGGGCCTGACTCTCTGTGCTGCTCTCCTCGTTTACTGTGATGAGAAGCTAAGCATATGCTACTGTTACAGCTCACTCTATCCTGTCATGTTGCTGTATATTAATTTTGATGACTGTTGTTTTTGTTCTGTAGAATTTAACAATTTAATGGAAGCAAAACTAATAAGATTTTTCAGCAGATAAAGTAGAGTTTTGCTTAACCTCTGAGTTCAGGCTGTCATAGTTCTTCTAGGGACACTGGGCTTCCAGGGATGAAACCACACAGGCAATGATGTATCTATCTCCCAAGTTCATTATCAGGCCACTGCATGTAGTGCAGCTACTCTTTTATCCCTTCACAAGTTCCAGAAAAGGAGGCTCTGCTTGTAGCCAGCTGCACAGGTGGGTGGCCAGCAGAGGAAACAACACTCACAGAGTGAGGAGGTGGTGTCCCCGTTAGTGTGGCCGGTCCCATCTGCCTGCTGCCTTTCCACACTCTGACATCATGTCCACACACTCTGATCTGAGGACAGTATGATTATTAAAAGTAGGGTGCTGGTTAATATTATAATCTTTTATAGGATACACAGAAATCAGAACGTAAAAGCTTTCTGTGGGATTTCTTTCTAGATCACTGGATGCTTGCCTGTGGCTGTTACTGTTTAACCATGCCATCATGTCACTTTCAGTGAAACTCATTATTTTAATGAGAAATTAAGTGATGGAGGTACTATGGGGTATTACCACGTAGGTCATGGCCATTAACATCTTTCCTGTTGCTTTTGTTTACCTTACTTCATCCCTAGTTGGTAGCAAAGTCAATGTTTTCCTCCCATGAGAACATGCCTAGTGTTTCTTATACCCATTCGTAGACTTTGAGCACCTCCCATGTACTGCTGAGCACACAGGGAGTGAGGCAGAAGTGTCTGTGCTCCTAGACCTGGCATCCCCACGAGGAGACAGAAAAATAAAAGCCAAATATTGAACCGAATCCAGGTAGTCATACATGGCATGCAGAGAAATAACGCCTTTTAAGATGAGGAAAGTGAAATAATTGGG